TTTAAATGAATCTTGAACATCCAGTTCCTTGGAGTTCTCAGGTGAGACATCTCTGGACAGAGGGTAGAAGAAGTCTATTTTCTCCACTGCCTCTACTCTGAGGCCTCCTTTCCGCCTCCTCCCCCTGACTCCGAGGCCATGCCATCTGGCTAGCTCCTCTCTCCTTCTTGTTGTCACACCTTTGGTTTACTTTCCGTCTTTGTAAACGACTTGGATCACCATTTTCCTCTCTGTCTTGCCTCCCAGCCATGATCTTAGGAAATTTCAGTGCCATTCAACACCAAACCTCTTTCAGTTCCTGGAACTACAAATCTCTGGTGACCACACTCTTAACATTATCATCGCTATGAAAACTCTACCTCCTATATTTTAAATTTAGACAGGTCTACCCTGACCACAGCTCCCTCCCTCTCTTATCCCAGGGGTCTCTGTCTGTATCTTAGAAGAGCATTTGATCCTTTGGCACATTAACCTTCTCCTTTCTTCAATCATCTCCTACATCACATCCTTCCTCATTTATACCTTCGACAACTCTTGCTGACAGCCTCCATTATCTTTCCTCATTGAACCCACCTATAAAAACCTCAACCATGGGCCAATCCAACTGTTCATTAGGAAACAAAAAAGCATGATACATCAAATCTACCAAGTCAACTTGCTCATAAATACTACCTATAAATCTATTATTCTGTGAGCAGCACTTTCTCTACAGCTATTTCAAATCTTCTCCATGCTCTTTATTTAAAACTCCTAGTAAACGTGGTGTAATGGTGTGCACTTGTGGTCCCAGCTACTTGGGAGGCCAAGGCAGGTGGATCATTTGAGGCCATCCTGGGCAATGTAGCAAGACACTGTCTCAAAACAACAACAAAAACCTACAGTTGCCAGGTGTTTGGGAATTTATGATAGTAATATCAAATACATACCACATATTATATAACATTCTGGGGAGTCTGGGAAGTTACCCATAATCTAATACATTAATATTCCTTCAACAGTGTGAAAAGTCACACTAAGTAAAAACAATACAGAGTCTGATGTAGGATAAGATAAAGCTTTGCCATCAAACTTATTTAAAAAACTTTGGTTTTCAGAACTGTTAAGATTTTGGTATCACAGATAAAGAAGGTAGTCCCTGCACCATTTCACTAGGGAGGGAGAGCAGTTAACCCTGATTCATTACCAGAGTTATCCTGCACATCCAATTATTCTCTGAGGGTGTCTGTTGGGCTACCCCTCTAAATGTCTTTTGAAGCTCACTGCTTCTGGCTATCCCTTCTGCCACATCCATTCAAGCAACTAGAATTTTCTCCTGATTTACCTTAATAGCCTTCTACCTCATCTTTCTTCCTCCTGTCTCCATGCCCCTGTCCCCCTGCCCTCCCACAGCTCTCTTTGATCTGTTGTCTATGCTGCAGCCAGAGTGATCTCTACAACACAGATATGACTGTGCTACTCACTTGTGTAAAACATTTATTTGGATCCCTAATGCCCTCCGGATAAAGTTCATATGTCTTACGATGACTTTACAAGGCCCCTGCTGACTTTTCCAGTCTTATCTCTCACTATGTCCCACATCCTGGACAAAGCTCCAGTCTTACCGAACTATTTTTAGATCTCCTACAGAAGGCTGTTTGCTCTTGTCTTTGTACAAGTTGTTCCCTCCTTGACAATGTACTAGGAAAGATCATAACTCTTCTTCCTTTAAGACAGAAACTAAAACTAAAGATAAATTATGAGTAGCAGTATACGCAAATCACAGCCAAGAAATCAGGGCTTGTCCAGTAATCTTAGTCACCCTACACCTAGGTTTATTTCTGGTTAATTCTCGATTCACTATTCTTGCGCCCTCCCACCCCCAGTAAACCAAAACAAGAATCCATGTAGAAGCAATTATATATCCAAATTCAGATCTGTTTTGATCAACTATTTAATCTGTAATGAAATATTTTATATGCTTCTTAAAATTGTATTTTCTAATCACAAAAGTAATATAACCAAGTTACAGAACATTTGGAAAGGACAACACAGGAAAGATACGTACTTTCATCAGTCTAGAAAATAATTGCTATAATTATTATCTCCTGGAAGGTAGTTTCCATGAGGACAGGGGCCATGTGCATCCTGTTTACTGCCATGTCCCCAAAGGCAGTGTTTCTAATGTTCTCAATGAAAGACTAAGTTATCATTTTGTGGATAGAATTAAAATTCAAACATATTTAAATTTTCTGCCATATATCCAATCAGCAACTTTGAGAATTTAAGTTTCAGTACATGCAAAGTTTTCGTTGTTCCTAATCAGAAAAAGAGGGTCTTGGGAGGAGACTCCAGGTACAGAAGCAAAATGAAAGGCAGAGAAATAGATTTTTTTTTTTCAGTAAAGCCTGGGGAAAGAAGAAGAAAGTGAGGAGAAAGCAAAATCACTCTTAGAAGTATCATCCCTGACACAGGTGAGATGAAGAGCGGAGAAGAGGAGGACATACTATCTGAGGGTGCTTCCCTGATCAGAGATCTAGTCTTTGTGTCACTCTTATTTTTACTTTGAAGACCTAAGATAAACTCTTTTAGCCTTTTTAAGTGTCTCATAATAAATACTTTACCATTGAAAGCCAAACAACAATTCTGTAAATTGTTAATCCCTAATTGTGAGAGTGTCCTTGACTATGTCAGGATTCTTTATTCCATGTTACTGACAAAAGAAAAGGTGATTCACCCAAGGTCATACCAACTAAGAATTATCAGCCATATATGAGGAGGCTATTGAAGCTACAAATTCCGGTTTTTGATTAATTCTCTAAGGCACACAGTCACTAATTTGCAATGAAATCTCCAAGGCAGTTAGGTCAGAAAGGTTTTAATCATTTAGTAAATGGTTTTGTAAACTCTAGGCATTGATAATATATATCAAATTATATGAGAAAAATCATAGCATACTTTGGATAATATTTTTAAATGGGTATATATTTCATGGTTAATAATATTTCCATTTCATTGTGTAGAAGTCTCTATTCAAACCCAGTCTACAGGTCTATCAGAAGTTGAAGGGACTTTATAAAACAGGTGAACACTTAAAACATTTAATTTTAATTAATGGCAATTAAAAAATAAAGCTTGTTACATTTTTATATTTCACAAGTATGTCTACATTTCAGACGAGGATGTATATTTTAGATAAGATTTTAGTAGGTGGATGTTAATCCTGGATTATAGCAAAAAGTCTCAATGGAGCTAGCAAAGTCATTCTCTATAGCACAAAACCAAAGCCTGATGGTTATAAATTTAACAGGCTATGTCCAAGAGCCATATGAAAAAAAAAATGACCCTACTGCTTCCATAAAAGTAAAGGATCACCATATATGAAATTGGAAAGATTCATAATTAGAGATATATTATTCTCACATAATTTATAAGCATATTGTAATGTCGGTCAAGGTCTCACATGCATCTTCTCGGGTTGAAATAAAGAACTTGGTGAAACTCATGTGAAGTTCATTTGGAAGAATAAATTTAAGAGACTAACCAAAAACACTTCTGTAAAGTATAAATAAAACTATAATAATAAAAATTGTGTTTTGTTGGCACAGACCAAAGGAATAAAATTCAAAGTTCAGAAACAGGGACAGGTAAGCATCGAGAAATAAGAAAGAACAATGAAAGGATAAAAGGATTTAATGAACAATGTTGTGATGGGTGGCTACCTTCATACTCATCATACCATACGTCAACTGACCAGAACAGTCCCATGTGAGAAAATGCAAACAAAATGTTTGGGGAAGCTTTTCTATGTATGACTTCAAAGATACAAATTAAAATCAAAAACTAATTGATCCGATCACATAAAACATAAATAAAACTCACGTAAATATCTACTAAGAATATTAACCATTTTTCTCCCATTTATAACACTTAAATTTAGCATTTGTTTTTCAATTTCATTTAGTTTCTTCTGACACACAATTTTATTTTTTTTAAAGATAAGAAGTTAAAAATGTCAATCTTTTCTTTAAAGTTTCTTTTTTGGGCCTGGGAATGACATTCTTAACCCCAAACCAGACCGTTTTTCACTTATATTTGATCAGAATTCTTTCATCATTGCTTGTTTTATGTTAACATGCACATGGATGAAAGGTCAGAACATGGCTGTGGCTCTTCCTTAGCTGGTTCATCTGGGGATGTTATTTAACCTGAGTCCCAATTTCATGTCTGAGAAATAACAGACATAATAATACGTCCCTCTTAGAGTCACTGTGACAACTAAAATAAATTATTTGAACCAAGCATTTTTCATGGTAGAACCTGATTCATAAAAATTCCCAATATATGGTAGCTATTACTTTTAATGCTGTCACATAGTACATTGGCCTTCTTAATTTCACTGGCATATTTTCATGACTATCAATTTATGGTAATAGTATTGCCAATTAATTTAATGACAAATCTCACACAATTTAATTAATATTGTAGTGTTTTTAACTTTTTACCATAATATATACCAATCAGAAATAATATCTTAATTCTTTGTAGACTACCCAGTTATACACCACAGCATCCTACAATTATCTTTTTGTTTGCTTTTTTTTTTTTGAGAGTGTCTTACTACATTGCCCAGGCTTGAGTATCCTGGTGTCAGCCTACTTCACAGTAGCTTGAACTCCTGGGTTCAAGTGATCCTCTTGCTGCAGACTCCTGAGTAGCTGGGACTACAGGTGCATACCACCACACCTGACTAATTTTTCTGTTTTTAGTAGAGATGGATGGGGTCTCACTCTTGCTCAGGCTGGTCCTGAACTCCTGAGCTCAAGTGATCTTCCTGCCTAGGTATGAGTGATGATGACTAGCCAGCCCAATTGGTCTTTTAAAGGTGAGGTCTAGTGTTATCAGAGGGCCAAGTGACGATGTAATCTAAAAATAAGATAAATTTTCTTACACATCAGAGCTGCTGAGATTATTTATCAGCTTGAAATACATATAAACAGGATGTTTACTCTTCTTTGTCTTACCTCTAATAGGCCATCCTCTGGCAGATCTGTACAGTGAACAGCATTCTGGATCTTAGTTTTACCAAAGGTTGCTCTGAGGGTTCCAGGGCGTAAATGCCGGGCAATTTCCTGTTAAATATACATTCACATATGGATAAAAGTTAGTCATATGGTGTTAATAAGAAAAACACCAGCTATATACAACACTTGAATTATTTTATTTATGAAATACATGTTATATATTGAGGGTGCTCATTTTTCCTGGAAACAATATTAATATATAAAATTTTGAACACTGAAAATTTTCAGCTCACTCACAAGGTTTTTACTGTGGCCCAATATAAAGTCTACTATGAGCTATGTAGCAGGGAAATGATAATTCCATTTCTTTTTATCATTATGGGAATCACACAAAATATGAACCCAGCTCATTAATGTGAAAGACCTGTGTTTTATAAAAACAGTAGAGATCCCTAACAACTAGATTTAAAATGAACCAGTTTGGTAGCATTTATTTCAAAATATTTAGTTTGAGGTTGCTGTCAGCTATGATACCATAGCACTCTACCCAGGACAACAAAGACTCTGTCTCAAAGAAAAAGAGTGTTAATCATGGTTTTAGAATAAAGGCAAAAGTTTAAATAACCAAGTAGTAAGATTCGATAATAATCTATAAATTAACCTCATAAAATATGATGTATGTTTACTGGTATAAAATGTTTTATGTAGATAAATGACAATGATGAAGCATAAAGATACAGAACAAAAAAGTATTTAGTTCAGAGCTGCCCTTAAAATTAAGGCATTCTGGCATTCTAAGGATTCTAAGGATTCATTCTAGATGCTTTGAGGAAAGGTGTTGATAGGTTGTTTTAGTCTTGATGACTAGAAAATAGCATATATATTTATAAAAGCAAAAAACATTAAAATACTAAAAAATACAAAAATTCAAAATGCGAAAAAGTGAAAGTGAAATACTAACAGCGGAATCTTTCTATTCTATTTCCTGATAGACTTTCCCTAATTTTTTCTAACAGATTCATGTTCTTCCTGTTCCTTGTATTCTACAGTGAAAACCATAATATAAAGCACATTCTCCTTCCCTTAAAGGAGCAGAAATGATTATCAAGACACAAAAAAAGCAATGCAAAGTACTAACATATAATTTCATCTAATACCATAAATAATTCTTAAAAAGTTATCACAGTATTTACAACTGATAGGTTACGCTGAGAAAATGAGACTTTTTATTTTTATTTGTTTTACTTTTTAAAAATGAGTCTTTAGAGAGCAATATTTATTTGTATTTGGAGGGTCGGCAGTCTTAAACTCCACCAGATTCTGGACATATTCATCTCCTACTGCAACCTTGCCTGCTCAGCACCATCAAGCTGAATTCTTGGTATGTTATAGCTCATGTAAACACTTAATGTTCTGCTCAGGAATTTTGCAGTGAGGGGAAGAATTTTGGCTTATAGAATAGCCTCTAAATCTAAGACATTGAAAAATGCACCAGATAGAATGGTGACTGGCAAAATATTGACAACAAAGAAGAAGGCATTTATTTAATTACTATAGGGCTATGTGAGTCATAAAAATGACATTCTTTGTTAAATAATAGGCCTATCAAGTTGCTGGAGTATGTCTGGAAAGAACAAATTACTTCCACAGTAAGCCATTCTGTTTCAATTCTTCACAATACAGAAGAGATATGCAAAAATGAAAATAACCTCTCATTTAAAACAAATTAGAGAAATATTTGTAAGATTTATTAATCATAGAACTTTGAAGAAAGAGAATTTTGTAATCACTATAGAATAAATTCATATACAGTCATGTGTCACTTAACAGCAGGGATATATGCAAAGAAATGAGTCATTAGGCAATATCCTCGTATGAACATCCCAAGAGTGTAGTTACACAAACCTGGACAGGATAGCCTACTACCTACCTAGGCTATACGATTTACTCCTAGGCTACAATCCGTACAACATGTTATTGCACTGAATACTGTAGGCAGTTGTAACACAATGGCAATTATTTGTATATCTAAATATAGAAAAGATATGCCAAAAATATGGTAGAGCAGATAAAGAATGGTATACCTGCAGAGGGTTCTTACCATGAAAGGAGCTAGCAGGACTAGAAGTTACTTACTAGAAGTGAGTGGTAAGTGATGGCCAGGGCCTAGGATATTACTTTTTATATAAACACTGTATGCTTAGCTACACTGAATTTATTTTAATATTTTTTCTTCTTCAATAATAAACTGAAGTTGATGAAACATTTTTACTTTATAAACTATTTTTTTTCAACTTTTTGACTCTTTTGTAATAACACAGCTTAAAACACAAACACACTGTCCATTTGTATAAAAGATTTTCTTTATTTTCTTATTTTATAAGTTCTTGTCTACTTTTTATTTATTCTATTTGATTAATTAATTTATTTTTATGTTTTAAACTTCTTTGTTAAAACCTTAGACACAGCTGGGCATGGTGGCTCATGCCTGTAATCCCAACTACTTTGGAGGCTGAGATGAGAGGATCACTTAAGCCCAGGAGTTCCAGACCAACCTGGGTGATACAGAGATTGATTCAGTATGTCTGGAAAGAATCTTGTCTCAAAACAAACACACAAACAAAAAACAAAACACAAAATGAAAACAAAGACACAAACACACACATAAGCCGTGGCTTAATCAGGGTCTTGTCCCACTGGAAGGTCTTCAGGAACAATATGCATGCAGCTACATCTGTGATAAAATGCCTTCTTCTGGAGACCTCCTGAAAGAACTGCCTGAGGCTCTTTAAAGTTACCTGTTTTTTCTTTAATAAGTAGAAGAAATACACTCTAAAATACTGATAGAAAGCATAGTAAATACACAAAGTAGTAATAGTTCTTTTTTTCTTTTCTTTTTTTTTTTTTTGAGACAGAGTCTCACTACATCACCTTAAGTAGAGTGTCGTAGTATCATAGCTCACAGCAACTTCAAAACTCTTGGGCTTAAGCAATTCTCTTGCCTCAGCCTCCCAAGTAGCTGGGACAACAGGCGCCCACCACAATGCCTGGCTAGTTTTTGTTATAGTTGTCTTTGTTGTTTGGGAGGACTGGGCTGGATTCAAACCTGCCAGCTCTGGTGCATGTGGCTGGCACCCTAGCTGCTGAGCTACAGGCACTGAGTCAGCAGTAACAGTTCTTTATTACCATTATCAAGTATCATGTACTGTACATAATTGTGTGCGCTATAGAATTAGATTACTGACCTACCCAGGTGGAAGTAGCTCACCCAGGAAGGACTGAGTACATGTCCCTCCCAAGAAACAGTGAACAGACCAATCCCTGCCTCTCTGATCCTTTCTCACCCACCTGTCTAGGTAGAACCGACCCCGCCCAGGAAGGACCAAGTGTATGTCCCACCCAGGAATAGTGAATGGACCAATCCCTGCCTCTCTGATCCTTTAAAATCCCCATCCGCCATAGCCCATGTGTGGATTTCTTCTCAGTCAGGAATTTATTCCTACCTGCACCCAGTTGGAATAAAAACCACACTGATTGCACAGAACCCGGACTTTGTTTTCCTTTTGTCTCATGCCTCAGAATAATCTGTCATCTTTGGGTCCAGGACCTCTCAACAACTAGCAGCACAATAGGTTTGTGTACACCAGCATCACCACAAATATGTGAATCAAAGACAAATGAAGCAACCACTTAAGACAGCAAAAAAAATATATATATATATTTTTTTTTTGCAGTTTTTGGCCAGGGCTGGGTTTGAACCTGCCACCTGCAGCATATGGGGCCAGCACTCTACTCTTTTGAGCCACAGGTGCTGCCTAAGACAGCAAATATTCACATTTCTAATCATTGCTTGTACTCTTCTATAACAAGACTTGTAATATTAAACGGTACATGCTAAGTTCTTTCAACTTCTCTGGCACTTCAAAAATATGTTACCCAAACTGACCCTCAAACAGCTTTTCCCATTAGTGTGCCACTTTGCACTAAGGCATTGTGGTTTTATACTCCCAGGACATAAGCAATATCAAACTAATTATAGTTAAAACACGATGATGAAATGTGGGAGGATTAAAAGTATAAAGAGATCCAAAGGCCACTTTCTGCTAAGTCTAAGGATCCTTCCAGAACCTATGCACAGGATTTAGAAAGAGTTAAAATTAAAACTCAACTACTTATCTGTCTCATTGAAGGAGCTGAGAGTTCACATATCACATATATACACTTATTCGTGCTAAAGACTACATGAATTGTTTGAGGAACTATGGAAAGAGCAGGCTTATGAACTCTGATAGGTTTCATGTCTCCCTTTTTATTACATAAAACTTAGCTGTCATGTAAATTTATAGAACCTGAAGAGGCTCATAATTACATGCTATTTCAAGTGAGATATTTAGATAATTGAGAACTGTCTTTTCCATCAGGTTTCTATAGATCGCCTGACAATGACCACTGCCTCTTACTGAGCTTTTGCTGTTTTAGCCAACAACAAGCACTAGCTGAAAGGAAGTCTTATTTGACACAGGTTTTACTTTAAAATGTAAAATTATGATTTCCTGGTTCTCCTTTTAATAGAGTTGGGCAAGTCTCCTTACTCACTTTTATGAAAAATTACTTTTTATTTTAGCAAAAACTAAAGACGTTTTATTTTATAAATAAAATCTGAGAACATAACGTTAGCACATAGGCAAGGACATTATTTTTTGGCAAATATTTTCCTGTTTCTTTTCTATTTTTTCTAAATATTTAATACTACATTATAAGAGATTTGACCTTTGAGATGTACTCAAATTACTACTGAGAAACTTGGGAGACATTCTGCAAAAAGAATTAACTCCACACACTCCACCCTATTCTGATAAAATAATTACTACCCAATCTTCTACTATAATTCAATACTAAGAAACTTCCCCAAAGGAATAAAATAGTGGAATATCTGGCACTTCTAACACCCAATTCATTGCCAACTCCTGTCTATAGGCAAAACACCTATATGCCTCTGGCCAAAAAGCCATTTGAGAGAGAGCAGTGAAAAGACTTTGTGCAGGCATAGTTGTGAGAAACTGAGGCCGAATCCCATATGGCCGGGTTGGTTGCGGGCCTAACTTGAC